ACTTTGGAATTGTTTAAAAAGTTAAGTAGTGGGGAGAGGGCAGAGAGAGACGATAATTGGGTGATGTTGACTTGCATTTTAACACTGGAGGCAGCAGCAAGATCAGGAGAGGGGAAAATAGAGTAAGTTATCCCTAACATTTGCTAGAATAGCATCCTATAAATGAAAGCAGCCCAGAAAGCCAATGGAATCCTGGGCTACATCCAAAGGAGTGTGGGCAGCAGGTCAAAAGAGGTGATTCTTCCCTTCTGCTCTCGTGAGACTCTCCTGGAATACTGCACACAGTTCTGGTGCCCTCAACACAAGAAGGACATGGAACTGTTGGAACAAGTCCAGAGGAGGCCATGAAGTTGCTAAGAGGACTGGAGCATCTCCCCTATGAGGACAGGCTGAGGGAGTTGGGGCTGTTCAGCCTGGAGAAGAGAAGACTGTGTGGAGACCTCAGAGCAACTTTTCAATCTCTGAAAGGCTACAAGGAGCCAGAGAGGGACTCTGTGTTAGGAACTGCAGTGATAGGACAAGGGGTAATGGGTTCAAAGAGAAGGAGGGAAAGTTTGGTTTAGATATTAGAAAAAGATTTTTCCCTGTGAGGGTGGTAAGACACTGACACAGGTTGCCCAGGGATGTGGTGGCTGCCCCAACCCTGGCAGTGTTCAAGGCCAGGCTGGATGAAGCCTTGAGCAACCTGATCTATTGAGGAGATGTCCCTTCCCATGGCAGGGGATTGGGACTAGGTGATTTCTAAGGTCCATTCTAACCCCTAAAATTCTGATTAAATTAAAATTACGATTCTGTGATTATGGGGCAAAAGATGTAGTTTGCACTTGAATCTGCTACCCAACTCCAACATGTCTTCAGATAATTTTCTAGAGTACAATGCATCTCATTGCCTCCTGTAGCTTCTGGTTTCACAGTGACAACTAGGTTTAATTTCCTTACTGTATCTATAGTGCTTGCACTTTTTTTTTGGAGGAAATAGCATAAATGACTGCAAACCACTGTGATCATCTGTACCTCCATAAATTGAACAAAGGAGTAGACTAGTTACTATGAGTCTTGTGCTTTTCATGTGTTTAAACCAGAGCACTGAATGCAAAAGCAACAGGAACTTCTGTGAGACTGCAGTGCTTGCTGAAGGATATTTACCCCATAAACCAGTGAATGAAGGAATAAATCACAACTAGAACACTAATCAGTGATTAATGCAATGCTGTTCCCAGGAAAACCCTCAATGACCTCTTTCCAGACAGGAATTTGAAATTTCTGAGGACACAGAAGAGCTCTGAGAATCTGTAATAGTTTATTGGTTGAGTTTGGGATTTTGTTCCACATTTATGTTACAAAGAAAATACCTGTAATATTTTCGCTTTTGCTCTGATACCCATAACCCCAAATACATATGCATATATATGGTTTTATGGTGATTATATATATCACTAAAAAAAGTATTCTTATCTCAGGATTTTTCAATTTGTGATTATTAAACAATGCCTGAAAATGGGATTTTTATGTTGCTGATTGAAGTATTTGCACAATAAAATGAAGATAAGAAATATACCAAGACCTGAACATTTATCAATGACATTGGAAAATAGAGCTGAAACTGGAGAGTCATTCCAAAAGACAGACTTTGCCACCACCCATCAGAAAAACCCATGTCACAGAGGTGAGATGAGGGAGTCAGAGTCTGGTGGCAAAAGCAAAGCAGAAAAACAGGAAGAGGCTAAAACTCTGATTTAAATACTACAGTAGTAAGGTAGTCTTAAAATAGATTTTGGATAGAAAGACATGGGAGAGGAGTGGGTGTAGTAATACAGAAAAGAGAAAAAGCACTAATTATTAGATTTCTTCAAACATGCCAAATTCAGCCACTTTCTCTGAATTTTCTAGCATCTGAAATAAATGTTGAGACTCTGTTTTCCTCCATTTAATATCGCATCTCTTCATAAATACTACCTAAACACATCTTCCTGCTTTTGTTCTTTATTTTCCCTCTTCTGTTAAGGTGTTTTTACCAGATTTCTACCTCTTTCAGGTGAAAACCATTTTGACAGAACATAATGCATACATGTGTGTAAATATTGGCTCTGGGGTTTTGTGGCTATTAAGATTTACAATTCCTTAATGTCAGCTTTGAGTTCAGATTTGCTATGGACCTCTGTGCTTCTCAGGAGATCTAATCTTCATTATTTACTGTGGGGTTCAGTACTAAAACACATTTAATTCTGTAATTACTTTTCAGAGACATGCACTGATTTCCTGTGAAAATGGTTCTTCTGAAATGGGAAAAATATGTTGTAGCTTCCAACTTTCTGTTAAAAAAAGAATGAAGTAGGAAGGGTTTACATGTATTTGCTCTGCCAAAGTGAGATATCAATGCAGTACTGTACACAGAAATCTGAATTAACATAATTGCTGAAATATAGATAGATTATTTCTAATGTGCTTCAAAGCTCTGCATTTAGTTGCATCTTCTGATGCTGCAGCAAACGCTCTAAACTCATCAACTGACTGATGGATGTATTGTAAAGGCTTGGATGGTCACTTTATACAGAATGATAAACCCACTGTAGTACTTAATGAGGTCAGTGAAGCAATCAGAAAAGAGATATACAATCCTGTAGCATGGGTCTGCAAGCATGATACTTCTTAGGCTTTTTAATTTTAATGAAGCAGCTACTCAGCTGCAGAATATTCTTGTTAAACAGCCTCAGCATGGAATTTAAAACTAAAATGTTGCTGAATACCATAGTCTCCTTGGAGAGTCCGTGGCTCTTACTCTCTTAAAATGTCTGCATCTTTTATATGGTAATGGTTTAGAAATCAGCCATTGCTTCATTTTCATTGTAAATCAGGCCCAGAGTCTGATTTCCTTCCCCGTTCTCTGAGCACTATATCCCCTGTAAGCTGTCTCATCAGTCTCCAGTTCACTCTCTGGGGTATGCATGGTCTGAAAACAGATGAAATAATCCTGTAAAACAAACACTTTGCCAAGCACATTCTTATTTTAGATGCCTTTCCAAGAATGAAAGTCCTTACGTGAAAACTGGCATGGCACAAGTGAACTCACACCCACATCAGTCCTCACATGCTACAAGGTCTTAGTGCTACACACCCATTCAGGAGGCTTCCAAGGGTTAGCACTGCTATTGCTCAAGTCCAGTGAATTCAAATTGCAAGGTTTCTTTTAAACCCCAGAGAAACACCTTTGTATAGAAGAGTTTATTGATGTTTAATTTTTGAAGACTGTTCTATGCTGCAGTGCTGGTGCTACACAAGTAGCTGTAGTATTAGATGCAAGTTGGGTTTTTTTGAGGGTTAAACCCCATGCAAGCATACCTGATTTTAACATGTGAATATCATAGAGTTATAGAAGTTTAGGAGTTGGAATGGACCTTACAGGTCATCCAGCCTCAACCCCCTGCCCAGGGCAGGGACACCTCCCACCAGAGCAGGTTGCTCAAGGCTCTATCCAGCCTGACTGTGAACACTGCCAGGGTTGGGGCAGCCACAGCCTCCCTGGGCAACCTGTGCCAGTGTCTCAACACCCTCACAGGGAAAACTCCTTCCTAATATCTAATCTAAATTTCCCCTCCTTCAATTTGAAGCCATTACGCCTTGTCCTATCACTGCAGCTCCTAGCAAAGAGTCCCTCTCCAGCTCTCCTGGAGCCCCTTCAGATCCTGGCAGGTTGCTCTGAAGTCTCCACACAGTCTTCTCTTCTCCAGGCTGAACAGCCCCAGCCTCCACAACCTGTCTTTGTAGGGCAGATGCTCCAGTCCCCTCTTACCAGCTTTGTGGCCTCCTCTGGACTTGCTCCAACAGTTCAGTGTCCTTATGTTGAGAACACCAGAACTGTGTGCAGTATTCCAGGTGGAGTCTCAGGAGAGCAGAGCATAGGAGAAGGACCAGCTCTTTCAACCTATTCCTCACACTTCTTTGGCTGCAGCCCAGGATTCAGTTGGCTTTCTGGGCTGTGAGCTCACACTGCAGCTCATAGTGAGTTTCTCATTCACCATCACTTGTAGTGGTGTATGGTCATAGTTGTGACCTGCAAGGTTTAGATGTGACTGTAGCCAAGTGTCTCAAGGCATGCTAGGAAGTCTTTCCCTTCTTTTGCAGAGGGATTAATCCACCCTGTACGGATGCTGTTGGTGCCTGACCTAAGGAGGAAGCCTGCAGGCACACAGCTTGGTGCACTGCCCGTGGAGCCACACAGTCTCCTCTCAACAACAAGCACACCCAGCCAGGAGCATCCTATGAAGGTATCTGGAATTTACATTCCCATTCTTTGTTAACAGCATAACCTTTCCTTTCCAATTGCCACATCTGCAAGAACCGTACAAAACAAAACACACTTTAAGTGATGTGAGAAAGAGCAGAGAAAAAGACACAGGCAAGTTGTGATTTCTACCTCACCTTGTGGCATAAATTACTGCTGCACACAGGCTGTGATTAAGCAGGTCTGTGTGACTAAGCCTTGTACAGGATTAATTGCCAGGTCTGTGCTCTGCCATGGGTTAGTGATAGAAGACACTAAGCAGCAGTGGAGTGTTTTCAAAGGGGATTTGAAGTCTATAAGCCATTTTCTCCTCTGATACACAACTTTCCCTCTTGGCAGACAGCAGCAGCCTTTAAATTTTAAAGGTGAATATTCCATATTCCTTTGAAACTTTTGGAGGGGGAGTAACAAAAGGTTCAGTCTTTCCATTCATCACTCATGACTTTAGGAGCCTGCAGAGAAAAAAAAGCAGCACAGAACCCTGGTTTTCTGTGTCTGAGACATACAGACTGTTCTTGTGTGACACATAATGTCGTAAGCTTCCTCTCCCTACTGAGTGAGCTTTGGAAGTATGGGGTGGGGATTGTGGGATGCTTCTTCTCATGCCTGGTACTGATCAGTGTGGTGGAAAGGCAGACAGGGAGGGATGTGCCCCTAGCCCTCTGCACCACTTCTGTATCCTCCTTCATCCCTAGATGGGGACCTATTGCCCTCCACCATGAGGATGAGCCGCTGCAGTCACCTGCCGGGAGTCCCACCGGAGCCCCCTCGGCCGACAGCCCCGGACGGCAAGACCCTGCCTGGAGGCAGTGGGGGCCCAGCCAGCAGTTGCCCACAGTATGTCATGCAGGTGTCCTCCAAAGATGGGCAGCTGCTCTCCTCTGTTGTGCGGACTCTTGCCACACAGAGGTACGTGGGGGACAGCAAGATGGGCTGGAGTGCACCTTCCTCAGGTGCTACCGAGTCCAGCGGGTGCTAGAAGGAAAGATGTGGTGATGTGCTTCATGAAAGCTTTCCACGGTGCACTTGTAATTAAACTCTTATCCTGGCATCATGATTATGCTACATAATGAGGCACATTTCCTAAGCACTTCCCAGCCAGCATGCTGAGCGGCCAGACAAGCTATTTCTAGCTGAAGTTGACACACAAGGGTTGCTGCTTCAGCTGTTGTCCAAATGATTGAGCAGCTCTTTCTGTTGCTGGTTTAGAAGGGCAGATTAGTGGTCATATATATGTTTAAACTGTACCTTAGAAACACTATCATTCTTCAGGCTAGGTTTGTTTTCTATAGAACAAGGAAGAGGTTGCTTAAGGGTTTGACCTTTTCCAGATTTGATACTTGGGTCAAAATTAAGTTCCTCTTCATTGGTGTTAAGATGGAAAGACTTCATGGATCTTAAAACAGCCCTGGAGTTTCACAGAACAGCAAACTTAATCCAACCCACTGCACTTGTGTGAGGAGTCAAATTATTAAGTGCTGCTGGATGTGTGATTTGACAGCCTCAAAGGGCCTTTTGCCCTTTGCTTGTAGGAACTCTTTTAAGCCCTGCGCAACTGCACAGCTCAGATGTGAGTGCAAAGCATTGAGCACAACTTCACACAGGTTTGCCAGGCAGACTGAAAGGAGTGGGCTGGATTCTTTACACCTCCCTGCAGTTACACTTGAGCAAGGTCTACCTGGGGCAGTCTGCAAAGAGCCAGAAGAGGGAACAGCTCTGTTCCACTGTACATGGTAACTCTTGGTCACTCACACAACCTGCTTTTCTGAAGAGATCACCTGATTTGATGTACGTGGTATGGAAGGTTTTTATATCCAAGACCTCAGCCAAGAGGGTGGTGAGACACTGAAACAAGTTGCCCAGGGAGGTAGTGGATGCCCCAACCCTGGCAGTGTTGAAAGCCAGGTTGGATAAAGCCTTGAGCAACCTGCTCTGGTGGGTGGTGTCCCTGCCCAGGGCAGGGGGTTGGGACTAGATGATGTGGTAAGGTCCATTCCAACCCCTAAAATTCTTTGATTCTATGACTGTCTCAGTCTTGACAGTTGGAAGGCTGAGTTGAAGTTCTAGTGAAGAGGATCCATGTTTCAGCAGCACTGGTACTCCCATCCTGCTATGAACCCAAGTATCACCCTAGAAGCCATGTAACTGCTTTCCTCTTTCCAAAAGATTCCTCCGTAAAGCAGAGCATCTCAGGAGTTAAAATCAGTCTTTAGGTTATCAGTGGCAGGAGAAGCAACCTTCCTCCCCCATTGCACATTAGCATCCCCCACCAGGAAGGTGGGTGGATTGAGGAAAGCAGTGCAGAAGAAATACCCACAGGCAGCAGGGCAGGAGGGGTGTTTGGTACAATCCTCCTTTTCAGTTCTGTTAGTATTCTGTTACCCACGTTGAGCTGCTTGGGACTTGTTGTCCCAAAGAGAGGGAAACTGCCCAGAGTTTTCTGGAGGTTTCTGCCTGCATATACCTGCCTGAAGTTGTGCCTCTGCCTTCACACTACTACAGGGCAAAGTGCTGTTCTTTTAGGTCCAGAATTCCTTTGCTGCACCAAAAGAAGAGATGTTGCCCTGTACAGCAGGAGTGATGGCACACATCACTGCTAGCATCAGAGGTGCCCAACTGAGGCAGATTTAAAACTTTCCTGATGCACTTAGAGATTTCTTGAAGCAGCTGCACCGCTGCTCTGTGAAGAGAAACACAAAAGTACAGAAGCACTTGGTGGTCTGTCTCTG